ATAGCTAGAATAGGGTTTTGGTGTATTTATAACACAGTTACAATCAAGATCTTACAGCACCATGTAGAATCGAGAACTCCTCAACCATACCCTCCCCCCACCGAATGACGCAACAATGATTACTTTACAGTTCCCATGCTTTCCCGAAGCCGTAAGCCTGTAACTCCAGAGGTCCAGAACTTCCCCACCCGCGCGTTCCTCGGACGGACCTCGATTGTTTAGCTTCTCGGCCCGAGCCCCGCACATCCCTCTCCACTTCTATCTGCGACATCTCCTCATGCGGAGTCAGAGGTTCTTGGTATGCAGCCTTGTGAAACAATTAAACCTTCCCTCAGAAACCATTGAATTGAAGAGGTTGTTGCAATTGACGCACGAGTCGCCAGTCAAAGAACTGCAGTTAACAACCTAATGAAAGAGCCTTATATAAGAATTTGAATAGTATTAGGTTTCGGTGTATGTATGCTATAGTATACTTGTACAAGGGACCCCTAGGGTATAATATCGGCAACCATTCAGGCCTCTTCGTGACGAACGACTCAGAACTGCTGTTGCATTACGGACCGAAGCTGCGCATCAGGAACGAAGGAAGCACGAGACGTCGGCCTCTCAGATTTGCAACAAACGTCTGAACTGCACGGCCTGAAACCTTGTAACAGGATACGTGCCCACAGACGTCTGACCACGCATGTGTGTGCATATATATATATATATGTATACGTATATTCTATAATCTGTATACATATATACACATGCTTTTGTATACACACATACAAAAATTTACACACAAACATCTACTTACTTGTTTACATGAATTGTATCTATATGTGTGTCGTATACAGTTGAGCCGGATCCTCTTTGCAGCAACTGAAGATTGTTTGACAAAGTGCCAGGCCTACTAAAACCCATTAGAGCCCCAAAAATCCTATGACTACCTGCCAGCAGCTAAAACCTCAAGAGCACGTTTCAAGCGGAAAACTTCCAAATCGGCCGGGTGTCGAAGATCAAAGCCAGTGCCATCTGCCAACGCTTGCCCTTGCAACAAAACTGCGAAAAAAAACTTGTAACAGGAATCCTTTCCAGTCTTGGGTTTGGTATGAGGCCTGGGGAACAAGAACAGGGTCTTGGGTATCATACAGTAAAAACGGCATAATAAGGAACCTTAAGGAAGTATTGGCATTTTGGCACAGTTCTTGGATCCAAGCGGCTGCATCGAACTCGTTCGCTTTGGAGGTTTTGACTATGGGGGGTTCAGGGCAGTTTCAGGATTGGATCGGAGGGCTGGGGGTTTGGGGTTTAAAGTGTACCTAGCCGCAGAGGTATCTAAAGAGCTTTGTGGAAAGATTCCACAGGTGCATCTGCAACCGAAGCTTGCGCCGCGAGTTGTGTGTATGGTTGATTGGGGTTCCTCCCATCTTGATTTCCATAGCCTCTGTTCTTGTTATGTTTGTTTTCGTCACGATTGAACATTATTGTTATCATTCGTTGTTGTTGTTACTACTGTTATATATATATACTAGGTACGAGTGTTATGAGCATTCGTGCTTTTATGGTGCCTTTTCGAACCCCCAAAACTGCAAAAATCAAGCGTACAAATACGTGCATGAACGGTTGCACTAATTCAAAGACTTTCTTAATCCACGCCAAGCTTGAGATGTCGGTTTATGTTTTAAATTTACGAATCAACCCCCTCATCGGAAAATCGTTTTCTTAACGAGACGACATCCCCAAGGAGACCGTGCAAAGTTGAACAACTCACGTGCACGACGATGCCGAAGGACCCTCACTCTAACGTAAAGGTCTGAATAAGTATCACGAACGAATAAGTGTTACGAATCCCCCTTTCTAATCCCTGTATAAATATATGTTCAACGTACAAGTAGTGCTGTAGAATATGGCACAAAACCCTACTCTGGCCATTCAAGCTCCGCTTAAACAGCCATCCTGGGACTCAGACACCACAAGAGGCTTCGGAAGAACGCAGGGGGGATTAACTCGAAACCGGAACTCTGTCGGAATGCTGAAGCCACGAGGGTTGTTGCGAAGGAACTGCATTGCAAAACACTATAGGGGCCTCAATACTCCAAGTAACATGTGGGTGTATGTTCCAGTATGACGTGAACCCTAAGGAACAATGTCGACAACTTGTTAGGCTTCTCTTTTGGCTTCTGCCAGAAATTCCACAAAACTGATGAACTTACCGACCCTCCAGGTTCCTTGAGCCAGCATGACCGCATGTGCGAGTTACCCCGCCTACTAGGGTGGCTCATCAAGCGCGTGCCCAACGAATGCGCCTCAAGCGCAACCTATGATGACCGCTGCAGAGTACGAATCTGGTTTTGTCAGACTTGTGTTTGCAGCTAACTCGTTCCTCCCTCTGACTTGTCATAGGGCGGCCCACTATAATGTCATCGGGTCAGACGGTGCGCGGTGGTCAAAACTGCGACCACGATATGGGGAGGAGCAGCAGGAAGAGGGAAGAAGGGAGAGGGAAGAGGAAGAGGAGGAGGCCGAGAAACCACAAGTGTAGCAATGTACTACGCTACATTCCAGCCTGCTTGGGAGCAGCCCTCATGTCAAACGAGCGCACATTATCGATCCTTCTCTCCGATTCTCTCCGGCATTATTTTGCATCAAGCCGTGCAGGAGATGCATGGTATCCGTACAAGGTGAGATCTGAATGTTGCAGGGTCCGCTGATGATTCAACTGATCTGAACCGCGCTATAATACAGGTCGGTGGCCCTGTTCGCACTTGCCTCCTTCATTCCTGAAATCTCCTCTCAGTCTCACACTCGCTTTGTATGTATGTTTCTAAGGATAATTCCGTGTTCCGCTCTCTCTCTCTCTCTCGCTCTCTCTACGGCCCCCTTCAACCGAAACCCAGTCAGCGTCATTCCGTACCTCACCCTTGCGTCTCAAACTGTATGCGCGTGCCCGCTACTTTAGCTTCGACTTTGGAAATCTTTTGCTGACTCCGGGACAAACGACTCAAGTGGTTCACGCATTCTACATAAGCTCTGAAGCCCAAGTCCTTCTTCCTTGCAACAGTCATGGTGCCGGATATTTGGTTGATTGGTTGAAGTTTAAGGTAGATCGTGACTATGAAAAGTCCAAGCCGCCATTAAGAATTGAAGGCCAACCCACCCGCAGTCCAAATCTGGACGTGCTGGCACCCCGAACCCGAAATCTCTGACCGTCAAACACGGCTGGGCACTGAAATACGCTTTCGGCAAGTTCAATTTATACAAAGGTATCCAGATACAGTTGTACAGGTTGTCAAGAACAGATATTGCGGGATGCTGAAGCGGCTCGAGTCACAGATTCCGGTCGCCTTCTCGCATGCCGAGATGGCTGCGTTGAAGGCTGCCGTGTTCGGGCATTGTACGGATGACCTGGAAAGAAGCGACAACAGGAACCAACCAATGTAAGTATAACAACCCAATTCTAATTGGTACGGATCTACATCATAGAACTCATACCCGTTTCAAGGAACGCGAACTGCAAAGTCAGCTCTGCAGAAGCACCTCGACATCGGTAAATCTACAGAACCCGAGCTGCGGGTTGGCAGTCATTTCAACTTTGAACATGCAACTGTAGTAGGGCTGCCGGATTCGAATTCCGTATCGTTTGCCCTGCAGTCTGGCTGGTGGATTGGCATGAGAAGTGCCAGCACAACCCCCAAGAAATCCGAATAGAATCACGCAAGCCTCCTTGCAACACCCTGGAATAATACCAGACCTGAATGCGCACTGAACAACCCGATCTAAACCCGAAGCCGGCTACTTTTAAGAACGTTGAAACTACACTGGAGGCCCTGCGACAAGCAAAGAAAGTAAGGCCGAGACCTGTAGGATTGCAGGATGCCAAGGCAGTACTCCCATAGGCCTCAACTACTGCTTGTATTGGGGGTTAAGGCTTAGGGTTCCCCACACGAAACGGGACAAACGAGGCGAGCTCGAGGAAAAACTCTGCTACAGAGCCAGGGTATTGCTGCCAAACACTGCCAGTGCTGCTTGCTACAAGTAGCCGCTGCTGCCACTGGCATTGCTGATGTTGCTGGTTCTGTAGATTTTGTCGCTGATGCGAATGCGCTCGCTGCTTATCTATGCTGTAGTCTGTACTGAAAGCTGATCGTATCAAAATGACGCTGTTATCCTCACGACACGTTAAGAACATGGTTTCACCAATCTATCCGACTTAATGAACACCTGGAGAGTTGCTTGGGACTGCTTCGGAGCGCCATGGCCACACAGTCTGTCATCTCAACCAAGGAGTGGAGTCTCACGTCACGATCACTCGGGAGCCATGTCAGAGGCATAGATACTTGAATGAACATGTAGTCAATCTGTGCTTAGACTAGTTCATGAAAAGAGGAAATCGAACTCAATCATTAATTCAGCCTGCTTGGAACGACAATCTTACGATCGCATTGAAGCTGATATTGCACCGTCTCGTGGCGAACACTTGAGTGCTTGTACCATTGGGGCTTAGGTTTGGGGGTTTAGGATACCACGCAGCAACGAAGCGAGAAAGAAACTTGCATGCTGCACAACCCGGAAATCTAGGAGACATCGTGGCAGACTCAGAAGCCGAAAACACCAACATGCTGAACAAGTATATCAGGAAGGCGGAACCAAAGATACTTCAAGGGACATGATCTTCCAGAAGTCCTGAAATATGACTGTTATCCCGGACTTAATCACGCGTTTAGAGTGTAGGGATACTGCTATGAAGTGCGCAGGCAGAACCTGAAACCCGAACAACATCAGAATGGTCACCAGCCAGGGCGCCAACATCAGCAAGCATGAAAACAACTATATATATATATATATATCTATCTATTGATCTATCTATCTAACCCTTCCTACTGCTATGTTTCTCAACTTCAGGCTAGCTGTATTACTACATGACTATCCGCATTACTGGCGCCAAGCTGGAGCCTTTCAAGACTGGAACCCTGAAACCCCAAGGCCCTGCCTTGCTCGCTGACGGCCACCATGATGGCGCTCAGCGTCATGTCGTTTGGCTCTACAGTCTCCAGGAACATCTGCTCCTGCGCGGGCCACAGCGGAAAGCATTATTGGGAGCGGACTATATATGACGATGTATGATGGAGACACACGGAGACGAATAAACCGTGAATGAGACCCTGCCTGCTGAGAATTTATCTGGTCGCCCGTCTGTCCACAGTCAGGTGTCAAAAAAGAAGCAATAGCGAGGAATCGAGTTCAGCTGAAGCTCCTTCTGCCTAGGGGTCCTTATTGCATGACCAAATACAAGACAGGCTCCAATATCCTTCGAGGGAGATAAAGCGCCGTCATATAGGGCCTAAATGTTTACCTATACTGTTTTGGGGGTTCCTTATTACAAGTATAGTATCATGACCCCAAAAACCCTATTATAATTATTAAGGACCCAATTATTGTCCAAGGACTGGATGTTCGAAGGATTAGCGACTTAGTAGCCAAGATTATATCACGCAAAGGGTCCTAAGTACTTATCGGGGGAATACTTGCCAAAACCATAATATTATAGAAACCCTACATTCTACTACATAGGTACTTTTCGACTACAGGTAGGGTTTCGCGTAAAGGGTTACCAGAAGTAAGAAGGGTCGCAATGGGGGTATGCTGGTGTTTGTGGTTGTGATAGGAAACGAGGGTTGTAACAGCCGTTACTGTAAGGGTTTCTGTACAGGTAGCTGTAATGGCTAAAGGTTTTTTCGAACGGTCTTTGGTTAAGGGTTCTAGAAGGTTGTTAGAGGAGTTTATGATTTTGGGTTGCAAAGAAAGTTGTTAGATTTATAAAGATTCGAAGCCCCAATTAGATATTAGTTACCCAAACGATCCTAAGTATAAATTGGTAGGTCTTTTGGGCCACAGGTAAACCCCAGACCCTATACCATAATCCCAGACCCTATAGGGGCCTTAATAATTAGAAAAGAGTCTCGGGGTGCAGTATACTATACTTATCATCAGAAACCCCGAACTAGTATTGGTAATTATTTGGCCCGTATGTTAACCCTTGAAAAGCCGCCGTGAAAGCCCTAAACCCTAAACCCCGACCTCAAAACCCTAAACCCTAAACCCCTAAACCCCTAAACCCTAAACCTCAAAACCCTAAACCCTCAACCCTAAACTCTAAACCGCAACCCCTAAACCCTAAACCCTAAACTCCAAACCCCTAAACCCTAAACCCTAAAACCCCAAAACCCTAAAACCTTAAACGCTGAACCCCTAAACCCTATACCCAAAACCCTAAAACCCTAAATGCTAAACCCCTAAGCCCTATACCCTAAAACGCTAAACCCTGAACCCCAAACCCTAAACCCTAACCGATCCAGCAGCTGCAAGGCCCAAGGCCAGGCTTCTTCGCAAGCGCGGGCCGCTGCGCTGTAAACCACGACCTGAGCTAGGGTATTAGGGTTTTGGGGTTTAGGGGTGTAGGGCTTTAGGGTTTAGGGGTTTAGGGGTGTAGGGTATTAGGGTTTAGGGGTTTAGGATTTTAGGGTGTGGGGCTTTAGGGTATTAGGGTTTAGGGGTTTAGGGGTTTAGGGGTGTAGGGTTTCAGGGTTTAGGATTCTAGGGTGTGGGCCTTCAGGCTTTAGGATTCTAGGGTGTGGGGCTTTAGGGCTTAGGATTCTAGGGTGTGGGGCTTTAGGGTTTTAGGGTTGAGGGTTTTAGGGTTTAGGGTTTGCCAACTGAACCGCCGCGCCTCGACCCAAGGGGGTCGTCCACGGCGCG